CATATATAAAAGTGTATAAAAACTAAAGGAGAAGGCGAAGCCATAAAAAAAGATGGAAACTTGCATAAAATGCATAACCACAACAAAACGAGTGCAAAGAAAAAATCCAAAAGCAAAAGGCATACAAAATTCATATGAATGCAGTAGACTGAAATGCGAAAGGTGGGGGATATGGCGTCTGTGTGTGGCAACCAACGTAAAACGTCAGAACTGAAGAACGCCATTATGATTTTTTACAACATTTCTGAGCGTGCGCGGCTATGAATACACCAGTATATTTGTTACACATTTTGAACATACAAAAACGTTATAGTGGTTTAGTAAGTTGTGACATATATTATTAAAATTTAAAATAATAAAATAATAAAATTTCGGACCATAAAAGCTGCAAAACGATTTTCAAGTAAAAGAGTTCAACAGAGCCAAAAATGCAGGGGCCGAAAATATCATTTATTTTTGATTTTAACAAATAAACTTGGCCAAATATTTTCTAAGGTCGAAATAAAAGTCGTTTCCCAATAATAAAAAAGCCGGTTAACCAAATTAAAAAAGTTTGGTATCAAATGAAAGAGGACTACAACGAAGGTCTTCCAATCCAATATAACAAAAATGATTTGAAGACTATATCAGTTCATGGCCATAAACCAGATTAGTGAATCAAGGAGAAAGTATACCAAAATAGCGCCTGTTGCACTAATCGGGTCTTGGGCCTTTCTTAAGCGCGATGCTACTAACCAAACATCATACATATACATACATATATGTCCGTACTAAGATACTACTTCTTGCGATAATATGCAAAAGTTCTCTTGTTTCAGTTACTGAAATAACATTATTTTTTAATTATGTACATATTTCATTAATTTTCAAATTTTTTTTTTTTTTTAATTTTTCAGCATAAAAGCTCCACTGTGCGCTTAACAATAGAAATGCTACTAACACTGCTTGATACGTTTTTAACAAGAAGAGGACAAGAAGTCAGTGTTGGCCTCAACAATAGAGTGCAAGTGGCTAAGGCGAAAAAAATGAACAATTCGCATAAAAAAGTGCATGAATATTAAAAAAGTAAAAAACAAAAAAACAAAACGAATATGCATGAACGATGGCGTATTATTAAATATGGCGGCTGGCCACAGCGCTCTTGTGTGCTTATGTATGTATGTATGTATGTATGTAGGTACTCACGTGAAGACATCCATACGTATGTATGTACATTGATGTGTATGTATGTATGAACAAACGAGCGCATATGTAAACATCTATGGCGGCTTTTCTACTCATGTGCGGTTGCCTTTTGCGCTATTTTTTCTTTTTTTTGTTCGCATATCTACTTGTTTTCTTTTTTCTGTTTCATATTTTGCATTTAAATTTTTTATACTTCTGCGCACAATTTCTTTTTTTTTCTTCTGTTTAATGCTACTATGTGGCGTAGCGCAGGGCATTCGCAGCCAACACTGGATGAAGTGTGTATTTTTATGGAAACATGCACACTTGCGGTGTGCCATGCATTTTTTATTTTTGCATTCTACCTGCTTTTTTAGCATACACGCACGCTTTAAACAGTTGTGCCAATATTGATAGGAACACCCCGAAATTAAAATATATCTGCATTGTATAAATGGATGCAAATGAAGTGAATTTAATCGTATATCCTAAAAATTCATTGCAAATTCTATAAAAATCTGGAATATAGAATATTTCAGAAATATGCTTCTTAATAGCGCTAATAATTACAATGTGATCCAAGGTGGTACTATTTATGTATACATCGCTGTATGCGGCGTACAAATACAAAGAATAAGTTCAGCCAAACACGCGTGCATTGGCATTGGCGTGCACTAGTTTGTAATCCTTGCATAATAGTTTAAATTTTCCAAGCTTGATGGGCGTATTCTGCAGTTCTGAGGGGCCTAATAAAAGGTTCGGAGTGAGTAGGAGTGATTAGTTTTAACTTTAAATAAAAAAAAATGTCTAAGGGACGTTTTTTCAAGTAGGTTTTGAAATTAATTTGCCCTTTAAACACAAATTTAAATAGGGAATCTAATGGGGGAGTGAAGTGAATCTATAACCTATCCTTCTCAAAACGACAACCTCACCCACTGACTGTCAAGGCATGATGGTCCCTGTTATCGCTAACGAGTCTCTGTCGACCGATGCGAGGCGGTGTATCCTTGCCGATTTATTTTTCAACATTTATTGTTATAAAACGCGACTATTTCTGATATAATAATGTGTCATCAAAGTCGACAATGCAAAAATAAAAAAATCGGAAAAGAAAATAAAATTCATGGAAAATACATTTGTGGGGAGGAGTTATCAGCGTTCAGAAGTATACTTATTGAAATGGGTATTTTTTACAGAGAGATAAATATGACACATAAAACAAGAAGATTGTGTCTACGAAAATTTCCTAGACTAAGGGGTAAACAGGTTAAACAACCGAAGAAAATTCCATAGAGATTTCTAATTGATTTTATTTATAATAAAATAGACAATAAACTGAAGTATGTATTTTCTCTATGTTTTCTCAACAGATATTTTAGCCGGATGGATGTGTGTATTTCATTGAAAATTACAAGCGTGGTCCAAAAATGTATGTAAAAAAATAAGGTCGGTTTTTTAATGCCGCCACCCCCTAGGATTGTTATATACCGAAAAAAAAATTTACCCATATTTTTTTATTTTGAAATAAAAAATAATTTAGGTAGTGCTCAAAGCGCTCAAAGTTTTCCATGAATTTTATATGGAGAAAAAACATCTTTTCGTAGAATTAGTGTAGAGTTCTTGAAAATCAATATTTTTCGATCGGAAAACTTTACTTATCTTCAGGAGATTCCCAGTAATAATATTCAATTGTTTCTTTGACAATTTTTTCATGGTAACTATATTTATAGGCCCTCCAAAGCCCTTAGAAAATGCAATGGGGGGACCAAGAAAAAATCTTTAATCATAAAAAATGGTTAAATAAACAATTGGATATTAATACTGGAAGTCTCCTGAAGAGATCCACAGTTTTCCGGTCGAAAAATTTTGATTTTCAAGAGTTTTATACCATTTCTACGAAAAATTGTTTTTTCTCCATATAAAATACATGGAAAACTTTGCAATTTCAGATATTTGAATTTACCATAAAAACTCGGGTTACGAATAATTTTTCGAAAATTTTTTCTGAAAAGTTGTATATCCTTTTCTCCTTAGTGTAAAATTAGTAAGTTAAAAACAAAATCCGCGCGCGAAGAAAAAGGATTTTCTTCCGACAAATTTTTGAACTCCTTAACCTAGATTCAAAAGTTTATGGTGGAGTCTGTATTTTCCCGTGAATACAAATGTACGTTTTTCCACTACATTTCGAAATTTGTAATTTTATCAACGCTTACGTTTTGGCTTTCCTTTTCTACCGTGACCGCCTGAGAGAGAATGCACCGTCTGAGCTTATCGGAGCTCGAAATACTGCCCGCTATAGTTTGTGTGCTCCCGCGCACCTGGTAGAAACAAATCGACTTACTTGCCCATTTTCCATTTGCTTACGCGCCATTTGCATTAGGAATGGAACTTTTCTAAGTATTAATCGAAATAGAATAACATGAAGGTATCGTAAATAGCCTGAGATCACCAAAGCCAAATGAGTTTTAGTCAACACTTGTACAATGAAATTTGAGATTTTTAATTTTAAATATATTACCAAATACAACTGAAACTCCCTGGCGCTTAAAAATGGCTAAATAATTTTGAAAAGAGCTAAAAAACAGCTAGAAGCTAAAGCCAAATTTTCGGAGCTAAATATAGCTCCAAAAGCACCAAAATGGCAACACTGAATTACAATATCAATAATGTAGTTTGTCATTGCTACGTAGCAACCGCAATGATTCGTTGTATGAGGGTGACACACATGTGATCGTAGATCGTAGTATTGATACCATACTACGATGTGTGCCTCTAGCATTAGGAACATAACTAAGCTTTATATTTTATTAGTTTTGTATTAAACTGACATCTGACATCAAGTGTTAACAGTTAGAAACTTATCAAATTAATGATTAAATATTTAGAAATTAATTAAAGTTTAAGCAAAAAAAAAAGTTAAAATATCCCACCCGCCACGTTGGAACGCCCATCTAGCCAAATGGTTCGTATTAACTGACAAACGAAACTAATTTTGACAGGATAAAAAAAAAACAACCCGTTTACGTAGCAAATTTTTAAAATCGTCTATTTTAGCTTATCTAAAACTAAATATTTATGCATGCGTGTTTGTACTTTTAAAAATGTATGAAGTTGCGTATGCACGAGTGAGTGAGTGTATGAAGATAGATAATAACTCCAATTAAATCATTCATAATCGGCAAGTACAAATTAAGTGGGATGCTGAATTCTTATAGCATCCTTACATATGAGTATATATGTATGTACATTTTATTCTGCAGACAGCCATATAAATGTAAATACATACATACATACATACACACACATACTAAGTATAAGAATAGTGTCTTCTTGCATTATTGACGTCTTCAAGTCGAAGTTGTTGGCGGTATGGCTTCTGTGCCGTCGTTGCAAGGTTTTTGTTTTTTTGTTTTTGTTTTTATCTGCCTCCACTATGGATAGCGATGTTGAGAGCGGAAATTCAATTCACTGTCTAACATGACTGCGGCCATGTTTAATCAAATACGTGACTTGTTTTCAATTTCGATAGGCCAAACTAGCTGGCATCCAACCAATCGTCCGTCCAAGTGAGCAACTAACTCCTCAGTGCAGTTTATGGCCATTGAAAGGCGGTAGCTCTGAAATGCAGCAGTCTTACAAGACTAATATTCTCCTTAATACATACTTATATATGTATGTACATACCTACCTGCAGGTATTAGTGCGTTGAAACTTCTTTGGCGTATTGTAAAATTCTTACTTCTTAATGCAGTTCTACTCAGTTTTTTTTTCGAAAGAGAGAGATTCTACAAGAAAGTGTTTTATTTAAGTATTTAACTAAAGCTAATTTAATCAGTGTGATTATTTTTATTTTGCATACGTTGAATGTACCTACATACACACAAATTGCATGTATGTATGTGTGCATTAATTCCTGTTTAACTCTTCGATTTCATAAATGTTAACATCTGATAAGCTAACATCATCATCTACAAATGGAAATGTATGAAAACAAAAAGTGTTGTTGATTTCGAAAATTTTTAAAATTATTTCCTTCCAACTCACATCCTGAAAATGTTTCATATTTACGTTGAAAATGTTAAAGGCGGTCAGCCTTATTGGTTCATGTGTACCTTGCATCCACATCATCGTATATTTTTCGAACTGGAGCGAGCTTTCGTACCACGGCTGTTCGTACAAAACTTCATTGATTCTAGAGGTCTAAAGAAACACAGTTAATAAGTTTTACTTTACGCAAATCAATATCATTAGGGTTGTCGTTATCTTTATCATTGTCGTTCTTTTCATTGATATGTTTAACACTTCATGGTTTCTACAGAGAGCTTTTAAAAGCTTTGACCTGCGTGCCGAACATGCGACAATTCTTGCAAAGATAGTCTTTTTTAATTTAATTGAAAGACAGTAGGTAAAATATTTTGAAAGATTTTGTTGATTCTGACACGAGAGTCTTACAAAAAAAAAAACACTCCCATGCCAACTCTCATGATGAAAAGCTCTTTTGACAGAAAGCACTTGAGCATGTTCCAATGGAGATGAATGCCATTTTAATCGCCCTAATTCTAATCTAATTTTCTTTTAATTTTTAGATATTATTGTCTTAAGAAGAAAATATATGTATTTTTTAATTTTCTTTTTAGAAACCTACTGAATTAATTATTTATTTTTAATAAATCTTCTTTTCACTTAATTTTTAGAAAGCTTTTTACTTATTCTTTGTTTTTTCTTTATTTAGATTAATTTTTAGAAAAATTATTGCTAAGACCTTTTCGTTAGTAGTCTTTCGAAATACAGAAAAGAGCTTTCGAGATCCATACACTGAGAAAAGAGCTGAGTTACATCAACTAAATATGTTTTTTTCAACACATAATTTGGTTACAGTTACATTATTTGGTTATAGTAAGCAAATTATGTGTTGAGAGAAATATATTTAGCTGAGTTTTTTCTAAATGTAGTTGCCAGAATTGACAAAAGCCTTTCGAAAGACTGTGTTGAGTTGTAAGAGAGTTGCCAGAATTGCCCTGCTAGATCAGAGAGAGCTTTTATTCTGTACGCGCTCATACACAATTCACTGAAAGCTTAGAATCGCGAAATTCCGATCGATGTAAATATTATAGGCAACTTACCACAGTCTCCAATAGCGTACCCCATTTGGCGACATCGTAGAGCAGCCACATTTCCGTCAAGCAGGGTGAAATATATGTAGCTACAGCCAGGTAGTCCGAGGCATCAGATACCAAAAATAAATTGAAGCAAATGGATGCAGCAATACACATATCCGAAATCAATATAGACAGATTAAAGATATCATTCAAATCGGATGCGATTCTAAAGAAGACAAAAAAAAAGAAACGGAATACTCTTAGCATTTATGAAACTGTAGCGCTTTCGATAGCTCACCTGTTCAGACATTGATGTGTGTATATATAGTGGTGCAGTTGCTTGAAGAAGGCCTGCCTTTGTTGCGGATCGTTTGCTTCTCGCACATCAATTTCTTCCAAAAGTTTAGCCAAATATTGATAATACATACACAAATGCGATATAGTTACAGCGAACACTTGATCCCAGGTTATAATCATATTCACTGCGATCAGCGCCAATATCGTCTCATATGCATAAATGAAAGGATAGACAGACAGGTTTTCCTTTACACCAAACGGCATCCACGATGCATTCAAGTGAAACTCATCCGCAACAGGTCCTTTTTCCTCAAAATCATAGGCGTACATAAACTTAATTAATGGTATAGTACAAAATGGAACCAACTCAGCAGACACAAAATTGTGAAAGAAGAAAAAGCGGCGTTTAATATAACGATGACACTTTTCCACTTCCATGCGTTGCTGTAGGAACGCGCTGCGTGGAAATATCCTGTCTAAGTCATTGTAAAGTTTTGACAATTTGTTGCGATTTAATTCCAACGAAAAGCCACGCATCGTCATGACCACAGCCATGCCAAAGACAGCGAAGATTTCTTGAGCCAGCGTAACATTTCCCGATGCAATGGCTGCACCACATTTAATTGCATTGCCGATACAATCGTAAGCAGCCAGGACTAATCCTACTTGCAACAGTTTTGAGCTCGGAATAGCGAAACGTCCATTGATGCGCTTATAGTCCATGAAGTTAAGGCCCATATAACTTTGCAAGGGGTGATAGATGGCGCAGAGATCATCGATTGTGCACAATTTTTTGTCGGTTTTAGTACTGCCCGATGTAAGTCCCATTTTCATTTGTGGAATTATGATATTGAAAAGTCACAGTTCAAAAGTTTGTATGTGCTGAAAACCGATACATTTGCTTTATATAGTGGGTAAAAATCGCGAAGTACAGTAAAACCGGTTTAGTTCGAACTCATAATTGAACCGAAGCTTCGGGGAGGCACACTCGCTCACTTCATCTACAATTAGGCAGAAGAACAATTGAATGCCGAAAGATACATCCGATTTCGAAGAATTACATAACTTTAAATTCAGGAATCAAATTGCCGCCTAAATAGGGTGCACACTGCTTCAGTTATTCGAAATATATCCACACAATTTCGTGCTTTCTAGGCATGGGGTCTCACAGGATAACGGACAGCGATGGTTGTTTGTGTCAAAGTCAAGAGGTACTGGTTGAAAATGGAACCAGTCTGAATTAGGAAGGTTTACCTGTGGTTCGACGAGGACATTGGCTACACATAGTGCAAGTAGGCACATCTGTAAATATTTTTTTCAGGTACTATTAAATGGCAATTATATAAATTGCATCCTGTATTTTTGTATGTATAATTATGCCAGACTTTATTTATTCTCTTTGATAAAGTTGCTTTCTTTATTAAAATTAAAAATTCTGTGTATACTCGCATATTTATATACACGGTTAAAAATTTGGGTTTAATTTTTAAACCGCGCTGGGACTACTGCCTTTTTTAAACTTTTATAGTCTACTTTTTAAACCAGTCAATAGTTTTACGCAATTTTTAATATATTCTGGTTTAAATTTTAGCCCAAAAAGTTCGTGGTTTAAAAATCAAACCAAAATGTTTTAATTCTAGTTTCTAGGTTTCAAATATAGAAACTTTGGCTTAAAATCTAAACCGAAATAGAATATGTTTGCACAGCGAATTGTGGTGTTGATTCAAACCCAACATATGAAAGCATATTTACATGCGTGGCTGTAGCTGAGTGTGCAAAGATGCTTGATACAATTGGTTGCTACCAAGGCTGTCCGGGTTCAATCCCAACCAGACGGAGCATGAAATTTAAGATTGTTTTTTTTTTTTATTCTTAATTATGAAAATGTTTGGGTTTAACATTTAAACCGAATTGTTTAAATTCTAAACCCAACATATGTGCTCTCTGTTTTTTAAACTTGGAAGGTTTGTATTTGAAACTGAATTTAGTTTGGTCATATATGTATGTAGTCCAAAAAGTTTAAAATTAAAACCGAAATTTTTAACCGTGTATTTATTCTAATATTTTATTAGATGTTAATAATGACGCGAAATTTCCGTGGCTTCGTTCGCTTTAATATAATTTTCTAATTAAATTAATTTCTTTTTCGATCGATTAATAGATTACTGCCATGCAAATTATGAAGGTCTTTTCTAATGCTTCTTGATTGGTGCTGTAGCCCCCTTAGAGATTTTGACCAATATTGGAGGTAAATATCAATATCTCTCCTCCTGATACCTGCTGTTCTCTTAATTTAAGTTGCAGGAAGCATTAGAAATGCTCTTTCTGTTCTAGGCGGTGAAATTGGAATAGAAGTACCCCGGGTGGCAAGAGCAGCCGGTTTTAGGATGTCGACGACTTCTTGTATGGCCACTAATTACACTACGCTTCTGTCCTAAAGACTGCCTCTTTCCAAGAGCACCAGTGATGCATATTAGAGGTGTTCTTTGCACTTTTGAATTTAATACCATCAGCCCTAGAGGAGAAAGGGCCCGATCACGATGGAATAGCCAGTGTACGAGCTTCGAACTGTATGCACGCATTCTGCAGTATTCTGAATAGAGTTCATCCTTTTATCAAAGATTATATCAACATATTTTTTCCAAATTGCATAACTTGGGTTTAATCTGTGCAAGCATATTTTGATTTCTTACAATTTTACCTCCATGATGCCGCGCAGTGTTTGTGGGAATTTTCCGCCTACTAACAATACAAGATCGACTGCAAATTCTGCCATAGAAGGGTGAATAAGACCCTCTCTTGCGGAGCTCCGCTTCTAACGAACCCAGTCAACAAAACCCTTCGTTGCATAACTAGAATAGGCATAATGATTTTGAAAGTATCCTCAATATACATTCAGGTAGAATGGCTGCCATTGCGTAGTTTTTCAGGTATAATGGATCCGTCTACGTGGAATACAATTTTATGTAATGCTGTTTCTTTAGAATTGTATTTCATAAGTATAAGCATGCTGAGTTAGAGCCTACCAAAGAACGACTCTATGATATGGAGCTGTAACAATAGTCAACAAAACTTGGAAAAAATATGTAATTTCAATTCTCACATTTTGGCATCAAGAAGCAAAATACATGTATGCATATATGCAGGGGCGCACCCAGGAATATATTTTAGGGGGGGGTTTTATATTTCTGAAGATATATCACCGGAAAATACTGAAAATTTTCTTCAGATAATACGCTCTTTGAAATACATTTATGCAAGTTTTATGTACAGTATGTAATAAATAAATAAACGTTTTAAAACTGCACTTTATTTACATAAGATTAACAGAACTCAAACACTTTTAATCGACTTTAAAAAAAGGGGAGGTTATCAATTCGCCGGAATACGTAACTTTGGACCACGTGAACCGATTTCAATGATCATTTTTTTGTAGAAAGATGGTACCTCAAGGTTCGTCCCGTAATTTGGTTTAGAGATCCGATGATTGGATCATGAAGAAATTAACGGTACCCCTAAATTTGAATATAAGAATTGAAGTCCGTTGTGTTCTTTCCTTAAAAACTACTTGCTTAATAAAAAGTGCTATAAACTCAAGATGCGCTCAACTTTCAAAAGTACCTAAGAAAAAATCTTAAATAAGACTCAGTAAAAATAAATTGATTGATTCCATGAATGTTTGCACTTTTATGTTCCTTTTTTCGATTACTGGTTTCTGGTTTCTGGCTTTCGATAGAGATGGTGATTTTTCACGATTTCTAATTTTTTTTAATATTTCGAACACCGAAAAAATTAACTGAACTCTCAAGAAAAACGAAAAATTCATATAAAACGACGGACGAGAAATGGAAAAGAAATTTTCTTCTACCAAAATTTCTTAAATCAGTTTGCAGCTCTCAAGAAAAAAATGCTCGTATATTCATTTCCTCATGAAAATTTATAGCAAAAGCAAAGCGCTTCTTCAAGCAACAGAAATTATAATAAATATTTCTTATAATTTCCTTGAGAGCTGGATTCTTAGCTTTAAGATACAGTTTGTATTTGAGGTTATTAGCTTTAGGGGGGGTTTGAACCCCAAACCCCACCCCTTGTGTGCGCTAATGCATATATGTATACAAGTATATTAATTTTATATTTATCTCCACACTTATTTAAGAAATGTTACGTGCCCCTCTTGCTTACAAAGCTCTGAAAAGCTCACTTTTAAGCACTATATCTTTAAACAAAATACTACAATATCGCTTTAAATCACTGATGGGCACCGCCTTGCCCGCGGGCGAAGCTCTTTTAAGCTTTCCATACATTTTGTATAGGCGCGTTTAGAGTAAAAGCTCTCGCTGCGCATTCTTGCTTTAAATATACATACATTTTTTCAACTCCAAAAAGAGGAGCGTCCGTCACGAGCATATCGACCGCTGAGTGGAAGATCGACCTATCTCGAAAACCAACTCGAAAACGTCTATCTCAAAAAACTTTTTAAGAACGCTCTATTTCAGAATTCGTTTCAAAAACGCACTATGTGAGCACATTTTCAATACATTTTGAAGTGAGTAAAATTCTGAAATATGGCGTTAATGAAAAGTTTTTTGTGATAGGGTGTTTTCGAACTGGCTGCCGATCTTCCTCTTAGCAGTCGATATACAGTGGCGAAAATATAAATAGGGAAAATGTATTTCAGCATTTTCTTGGCTATATCCCTTTCGCTTATTTAATAAGTATTATTTCTTTATGAAAGTGTACCTCGCTATCTAACAAAAAGCATGAAAGTCAAAATTTCAACAGAGTTTCATCAAAATCTTGAGCTTTTTAATTAGATTTCTTAGAAATATAGTTTTGTAGTCCATTCAATTTTATTACGACGAAGTGAAAATTTGAAGTACCTAGTGCGACGCGGTGAGACATAACATCGTCACAGATCGACACTGCCGCAACTGTTTGGAAGATGAGGTGGAATCATCTCATCACTCCCTTCTCAGCTGCCCGGCATTCGCAAGACTAAGTTTGAAGCACTTTGGAGCGCATTTCATCAGTACTCCCGAAAAGCTCTCCGGAGTGGACATCAGCTGCCAGCCAGCGCTTCTTTTAGTTTCTAACACAGAATATATTAGTTGACGTCCAAAGAACAATTTTATTTCAAATGGCACTTAATTTTTCAATGGAACTTTTGAAAAATAGTAACATTTTGTGAAATCCTTTGCGTGTACTTTTTTCCCAGCTAAAATTTTCAATTTCTAAGGTCATTCAACTGGTTTATCTTATTTCGGCATTGCACTTTTGTTCTAGAAATGTGGATCTTATTTTATTGCTAAATGGGGAGGATTAAAAAGAATGGCGCCCTCTTTTGGCACATGTATTTTTCTATTTGGCACATTTTGGCACTTTTTATCCTCAATATGGCACCTCATAGCTAAGGATAGTTGGCAGACCTACTGATTTGGTATTTTTGACAGACACTACGTCACCATCACCATCATCATCGGGTTGGAAATCGATATTCTAACAGAAATCGAATGGTGATCCTTTCAACTAATTCAATGTTTTGTACATACATATATGTATAGAGGTTTCGCAATTTCTTAATTTTTTTAACCACTATTGACGTTCACAAAAGATTCAGAGCATACTGTGGTAAAATGCTTTTTATAAAGTGAATTTTTAATCACTAACTATTATTTCTTTTACTTAGTCTAAATGATAGCCTCAACTAATTATTGCATTTATTACGACGACGATACAAATTAAAAGTGCTGCTTTAATTGCCTTTCTGTTATTTTCCTAATTCTCTCAGAAGCAACGCAATTAAATTTATTAATAAATTAGTTTCTACC